ACACCTCAGAGGATGCCTCTGAGAATCCCTACAGCAACAAGGACCAGGGCTTTGTGCAGCCACACGCTGGTGTAGACCAAACAGATACAGCTAGGAGCAAGGGCTGGGCTGTCCGCAGAAGCCCTAACACTCAGGAGTTCAACAGGTTGTTCTGAGCAGAAGCTTCTGGGGGACAAAATCAGATAGGTGGGCTGTAGACTGTGGGGCTGTATTGAACAGATACTGCTGGGTGTGCAGATGCCTTGGGACGGTGCTGACCCAGAGAGAGAACCTCCACAACCACAAAATGCCCAGCACAGGGGTTTGGGGGTGGCACCCCTGACTGCCCCTTCACAGGCCCACAAGAGCCCCCGGAACCCTTCTGGGGGAGCCCTGGTTAGGGTGTGTAAGATCCAACTATCCACAGGAAATTATACCCATCACACCTTCAGACATTTTACCAGGATAAGCTCAGGCCCTCTCTCCAACGTGGGAAGGAAATGTTACGACTCAGTGTTTACTTACATGAAGCTAATCGTTATTTTGGCTTTAGCTGTGGCTTAGAAAAAGCTGATAATGGAGGCTGAAGTGTCACAGGTCCCGCCGCTGTGGCCGGCCTTCCGAGCCAGGGCTGGAGGAAGTACGTGAACTCAGAACCTGGCCAAGCAGGAATTATTAGAAAACACACTGACATCTAGTGATTAGAGGAGAGTGGACCCTAAATTGAAACCAGGAGACGAAACCACTGTGGACTTTTTCTGCAAACCACAGGGTAGTGTGCAATTTCAGCTGAACTGAAATGAGCAAGACTTAAGCATGGAGGAAGATTAAAGATAACTTGTCTAGGGGACGTTCCAGTGGCCCTGATTTGATACTTGATGGTCCATTAGAATTCTTGGAAAGTATAAAAGGAGAAATACATTGTTGCCAATTTCCAAAGGGTCATCAGGCAAACACATTCTGGCCTGCCTTCCTGGTGGCCAGTCTGGGCATGGATCTCCGTTTCCTCAAGAATCTCCTTAGAATTACAGAATTCTAGAGTGTGTGCAGGGGAGACTTCAAGATGTTCCCATGCCCCAGGTGAGGAAATTGGGGTACCCCCCTAAAAGGGATGGAGCTTGCCCAAGTCCACACAATGCCGCACTCCTAGGTGGGGAGCAGGCTTTCCACCTTCTAACTGTACTTCAAGTCCTGTTTTCCTTGAGGGTTTTTTTTTTTAAGATTTTATGTATTTATTCTTTTAGAGAGAGAAAGGGAGGGAGAAAGAGAGAGAGAGAAACATCAGTGTGTGGTTGCCTCTCACATGGCCCACACTGGGGACCTGGCCCACAACCCAGGCATGTGCCCTGACTGGGAATCGAACCTGCGATGCTTTGGTTTGCAGCCCACGTTCAATCCACTGAGCTGCACCAGCCAGGGTGCCTTGAGTTTTTCATAGACATCATTGACTGGGTTCAAAACATTTCCTTCTCTTCCTAACATACTGAGTCGTAACATGAATGGGGGTTGAAGTTTGCCAAATGTTTTTCTGCCCCCGTCAAAGTGATCATAGAGGATTTTCCTCTTTTCATCAGTTAATGTGATGAATTATATTTATGGATTTTCTGAGATGAGCCCACCCTTGCATGCCTAGGACACACTCGACTTAGTTACGGTCTATTGTATTTTAATACACTATTGAATTACGTTTGCTAATATTTTGTTTAGTAGTTTTGACTGTACGCTCACAAATGAAATGGTTCTGTAACCTCTCACCTTGTAGAATGCCGATTTTGGTATCAGGATTATGCTGGCTTCATAGAATTAATTGGGGTCATATTCTCCTCTTTTTAAAAAGAGTGAAAAATGCCTCAAAAGGTTAGTGGAACTTGCCTGTAGAGTCATTTGGACTTGGTGTTCTCTGTGTGGGAAGACTTTAATTGCTGCATCAATTTATGTAATACTTTTAAGACTACTCAACTGATTATTTTTTCCTTACTTAGTTCTGCTCGTTTATATTTTTCTAAATATTTATTCATTTCCCCTAAGTTTCCAGAGTGAGAGGCAAATAGCTGTTACAATAATTTTTTCATTCTTTCTAATCTCTCTGTGTTTATGAACTAATTCGTGTTCCACTTTTCCTTTTTTATTTAATTTGTGTCTTCTTTTGATCAATCTTGTCAGAGGTTTGCTTATTTGGTTTTGTTCCCCCGAACTTTTGGTTTCATTGATCTTTTCTATTGTATCTTTGTACTTTATTTTGTTGACTTCTGCTCTTAAATTTATTATCTCCTTTTGTTTTTCAGGGTTTTATATTGTTTTTTTTTTTACTTCTTAAGATAGACAGCTTCTTAATTTTGAAGCTTGGTTTCTTTCTGATATCATTCATAGCTTATATTACAAAATATAACTACATTTCACTCACATTTTGATATGTTTTGTTTTCTTTATCGTGGTTCTAAATATTTAAAAATGTTATGATTTTTCTTCCACAAATATGTTTTGAGCATTCATATTAAAATTTCCATGAAATTTCAAAACATTTTTTAAGCTCGTAATTTAATTATTTTGTGTTCAAAGGTCATGGATGATATAATTCTACTTGAAATTTCATTGATCGAGGCTTTCATTTTTTCCTTCATACCTAATCAGTCTTTCTAAATGACCCATGTGTCATTGAAAAAAGCATCTATTTTCTAATTATTGGAAAACCTTTTTCTAGTTATTTGCTCATTAGCCATGATTCTTTTCTTTCCTTTTCCTTGCTGGTTTGTTTCAGTTAGCATAATGTCTTCGCAGTTCACCCACGTTGTGGAGCGTGTCAGAGCCTGCATCCCTTTTAGGGCTGGGTACTGCTTCACGGGGCGTTTAGACAGCACTTGACTCATTCCCTCGTCGACGGGCATGTGACTGGGTCCATCCTCTGGCCATTGTGAATAATACCGCTATGAGCGTGGGGTTACCAATATTTCTTTGAGATGATTTTAATTCCCAGAAAGGCATGCGGTAACTTTCCCTCTCTTTCTTCAATTAAAAAAATTGTTTCAACTACAGTTTACATCCGAACTTGTTTTGTGTTAGTTGCAGGTGTGCAGCAGAGTGGTTAGGCAGTCACATCCTTTTCAGTGTGTTCCCCTTGATGTTTTCACAACCCAGCTGACACCATGCGTAGTCATGACACCATTACTGACTGTATTTTCTATGCTGCACTCTACATCCCCACTGCCGCTTTGTAACCGCCAGCCTGTACTTCTCCGGCACTTCGCCTTTGCGCCCAGCCCCCACCCCTCCCCTCTGGCCGCCATCAGTCTGTCCTCCGTACCTATGAGCCCGTTTCTCTTTTATTTGTTCATGCACATTGTTAATTAGATTCTGCATATAAAGAAGTCATACAGTATTTTCTTTGTCTGCCTGGCTTACTACACTTAGCATAATGCCTTCTAGGTCCATCCAGGCGATGGCAAATGGTAAGATTCCATTCTCTTTGACGGCCAAGCACTATTCCATTGTGTAAATGTACCACAGCTCGTTTATCCACTCATCTGTTGATGGACGCCAGGGTGACTTCCAGAGCTTGACTGTTGCAATGATCACAGGACTGCATATATTCTTTCAAAGCAGTGTTTTGGGTTTCTTTGGATATACCTCTTTTTCTCTGGTCTGAACTTTTGGAATTGCTGTAATCCCACTTTTAATTTTTTGAGGGATCTCCATACTATTTTCTACAGTGGATGAACCAATCTGCATTCCCATCAATAGTGCACAAATGTTCTCTTTTCTTCATACCCTCATCAATACTTGTTCTTTGTTGATTTATTGATTATAGCCATTCTGACAGGGGTGAGGCTAAAATTCTTAACTACAATTTTCAGATTGTTTTTGTTCTTCCTATTTTTTTTGCTTGTATTATCAATAATCGATAGGATGTGTTGAAATTTCCAAAAATGACAGGGCATTTATTTATTTCTTTTAATATATTTTGCTCCATCCTTAGTAATCTTTTGTGTCTCAAAATCTATTTTACCTTATTAATGTAGCTAAGTCAGCATACTTTTAATTAACATTTTCTTATAATTTCCCCATCATTTTATTTTCAATCTTATGTTTTAAGTACGTCTTTAATAATAGTATATACATATACCTATTACATCTACCTAATTTTGTCTTTTTATTGATAAATTTCATCCACTTTTATTTGAATTATTCCTCTAAATGGGCTAGTTTCTGCCATTTTAGTAGATTATTTCAGTGTGTCCCACTTTTTTATGACTAAAGAAATCCTATATCATATTTAAACAAATTGATATTCTGAGCAACCTCCCCCATTTCTTGACCTTCCCATTCACACTCACCATTATCGATACTGTCTAAAATTTTAAACTATGGCTAAACTATGGGTTATCATATTTTTCTTTTTTTTTAGTCTGAGCTTTTTTTTAAGATAAATACACATTTTGCCAAAGTATTTGTTTTATTTCAATGTGTGCCTTTGTGAAGAAAAATTTCTGAAGCATTTTATGTAGGAGAATATTTTTATCATTCCTTCATATTTGAATGACAGTTTGGCTAGAAATTAAATTTTGGATTTAAAGTTCTTTTTCTTCGATATCCTAAAAATACTACTTCATTATCTTCTTGCATCAGAGTTGTTAGGGTGGTCGGTGACGCAGGCTATGAAAGAATTCGCAAAGAGAAGAAAGTGTAGAGAATAGAATTTTTATTCACCCTCCAAGAAGGGAGAGGAGAAAGGTGTGGAGACATACACCAGCCCTGAGGGGTGGGGGGCTTTGGGCTTTTATTGAACTATAATTGGATTAAAAAAGGGTCAGGGGTGGGGGTAGCTGTTGTGTGGCCCCTGGACTGTTGAGACGTTGTAACACGAGGCTGCAGTTCATTCCAACATTATCTTCTGTCTGTGGCTGTAGTTCTGTCCTTGCTTCCAGTACTTTCCAGTGCTGGGGATGAGCTCAGAAGAGTAAGCTGCCAGTCGTTTTTAACAAGGTCATAGGTTTGCTCTGCCAATGGTGACACAAGAGCGAATGGGGCTGGCTTTGTCCTTTCAAGATTTGCTGCACTAGAATCAAATTTCATCTGATCCTCATTTCTTCCTAGTGATCTGGACTTTCCCCTTAGAGGTGCTAGAATTTTCTCCTTGAATCTCACTGTAGTAGATCTAGGCATAACCTCCACCCTTCATCTGTCTTCTTTCAATCTGAATTTTTTATCTTTTTCTAATCTTGGGGAATTTTACCTCCATTATTTATTTAAATATACATATTTTTGATGGTTTTAAGTCTCTATTGGCCAGAACAGAGTTTTCTAGCTGGGATCAGGAAAATAAAGATGAACTCACTGATACTAATCCTGAATGTTACTTGTGCTAATAAGTTTAGAGTCCAGATAATTTTGGTCTGTTCTTCCCCTACCTGGAAAACAAATTGGATGTGAGTAGACTTCATCACTAAAAGGCCACGTGTATTATATTCAAATATACTCTGTTAGTCTTCCTGTCTCAGCCCTTGTGGCCAACTTTTGCTTCTAAGGTTCTGCTTCTCCCACAGGGTGATCTGTTTGTTAAAAATGTGCATAAAGAAGGTGTTGGTAGGCCTCAACGTGGGAGACTGGAGTGTCTCCAGTGAATAATGACCACGGACTTACTGAAATATTTTGCTTGCTCAGAAACTCTCTTGCTTCTTCCTAGTATAATAAAGAACTTAATTTGTGCATTTCAGTAAAGAAAGGTGAATGTTAAAACCCCCTTCAACTTATACGCAGGGATCATCATCAGTGTGCATCTTTGGGAAGTCAGGGAATACCGGTACAGGCTTGGGCTGGGAACCAGACAGCCAGGGCACCTGGGGGTGGGGAGTTGAGTGGCTCCCAAATGACTCCTAGGGTCTTTCTAATGCTAATTCTGTCACTAGGAGGTCAATTTGACTTTCCGCTCTGGCATCTCCGTGATCTCATCATGTGAGTCCGTGCAATGGAACCATCTTCACTGAGTTTCTGCTTCCCCACCCATAGAGGGGGACGATCCGGAAAACCTCTGAGTCCCCTCCAGATATGCAAAACAAAGGTGGGAGGAAACCAAGTATCTTACAGTTCTCTAATCCTGTGGTGAGGTGAAATATTGGTGATGAGCTATAGACAAATATTCTTAGAGCCCGAGCAATTGATGCCTGCCCCTAAGTTTTAGGGGCTGGTTCAGAATTAGCTTGGGTTCTCATTGTCCAGTCAGTTTGTCATCGTCAGACAAAATCTAGCTGTGACGACCACACAACTGAGTCTTTACAATGAAATCTAAACCATGCAACAACACATCGGGTCGTCCACTGATTTGGTGTCAACCGTGACAGATTTTATACATCACACAGTGTCTGCCATTTCAAAAAGCATAGCAAACTGGTAAAAGAGTTGAACATTTTAGTGCATATTGGTAAAATTTTACAGGCCTATCCTACAGTAGCAAAGTTTTAGAAAAATGTTTTACTCATTTATTGTGTTCCTGAAATAAAACATAAGGCATATTGAGCACATTGGGTTTTCCAGCAGGAGTTAGTTTTTATAACACAAACACTTTTGTTTTCAGAGTAAAATAAAATGTCAGAGTTATAAAGATTATTGTTAACCCATCGATAACTCTGTGAGGAATACTGTGCGTTATTGTCAAGTAAGGTTTTCATATTTTCTAGGCCAAAACTCTTCCTCTGGTCATCCCTCAGGGTAAGAAAAATTCCTCAGTCTCTTTCCTATTGAGTTGTGGGTCTTAGTCAGTGAAAAGCACACTCTTCATACACATACATACATACATACATATATACACACATATATTTCATGTTTGTCTATAGATAATAGGCTGTCTTTAGTGTCTCTCCGAAGAAACGCTGTAGGCATCTGGTAAATGCAGTTCCCCCGTGTGCTGGGCTGCTGTCTGCATTGCAGGATATGCACCATGTCAGTCACCTGCCTATGAAGCACTAGCACACCCACCCCGGGTTATTATAGCTACTGAGAATAAGCCAGTAGTTCTCAAAAGCTCCCCGGAGGACAGTGCTTCTTCGGGCTGATCACCATTGGTACCTGATGATCTTTCCAGTCTACTTCATCTCCTGGAAGTGTTATTTTTCTCTATGTGTTATGCATTTTCACCATATGGAAGAATACACTGGGGGAAAAGAACCCATTATGCTTTGGAAGGCTTGTGAAGTACCACTCATTTTTCATGCCTTGGACCACTATCACTGCCATCTGGAAGATGTCTTTGATCTCGCCAAACATAGGTGATTCCTCTTCTGGCCTACCCTAGACCCAACTTATCCCTTTATTAGAGCGCTTGCCATATTGCTGTCATTACCTGAATCTGTCCCCCCTCGACCTCAGGCTGTGAGCTCTTTGAGAACACAGGCTGTGCCTTATTTATTCTCTGTCCCCAGTAAACAACATAATTCCGGCATATCACAGGCACTCTGTGTCTCGAAATGAATAAATGGATGAGAGAATAGCTAAGTTGAATCTGTTGCCTTTTGCACATGAACATTTTCTCTGCACGGAGATTTTCATGTTAATGAACAGAGATGAAGAACTAACCATTAAGTTAGGTTAATAATAACAATAAAACAACAAAAAATGGTGAGTCACATTGAGTAATAACCATAGTATCAAAATAAATATTATCTAACATCTTAGTATGTGCCCAGCACTGTTTAAGCATGTTATTTACCTTCTTTCTCTTAATCCTGGCAGCAGGGCGGGGACTAGGAGGAGCAGGTGCGGCACCAAGGATGCAGAATTTAAGGGGGCTTTACTCCCACTGCGGACCAGGCATTTGTGTGGCTCTGACAGTGAATGCTTGCCTCATCCTGGCCCCAGCCCTGCCCCGCAGTAATTATCTTCAAAATTCTAGTTCTCATTTTACAGGTGAAGAGCTAAGTTCAAAGAGTTAAAATAACTTGACTGTCCAAGCAGGTAATAAGTGATGGAGCCGGAATCAATCCTAAACCTAAACCTGATGCTGAAGCACAAGCTTTTCACCAGGTGCCGGGTTGAGAACTGGCTGTTACTGGTTCACACTAGATGGGTACAGGACCAGAGAGAAAGCATTTATAGACTTTATAGCAATTTAATATTGCCACTAAAATCAAGTCTGTGATTAATGTATTCATCGCCTTGACCACAACATACATACAAAAGTATCAGCGCACCGTGGACTGGGAAAAGCACACAAACAAAGTGGTTTTTTGGCCCAGATTGTCTGAGAAGCATTGCATTGGGAAATGGAGACAACTGTTTTTAAACAAAATATTTTGTTTCTTTGTAGTTCCAAGATAAGCTGAAAAATAAGAAACTAAGAATGATGTAATAATGTAAAACTTCTCAGTCTTCACTTTTAATCATTTAACTTTCTTTTTCTTTTTAAATAATCTTGGTACCTCATGCACATAAACTTGTGTTGTGTTCATCATAATCTATTGTTGATGACACTGTCTCAGCATCACATGTGACCCTCTTATTTTATTTATTGGTATTGTTATGCTAGAATAGTGTAATGCAAACCCATAGATCACCACCTAACCAGGAATCTGACCAGTTCCATTAACTTACAACTCCCTAAGCATTCCTGCACAGTCCCACCTGTTTCCCTCATCCCTTCCTCACTACTATGTCTTTAAGAGTCGTCTGTGTTGCCACTACGGGTGGTTATGCATGCAGTTGTATGTAGTTCCTTTGTTTTCATGGTGATAATATTTCATGATGTGAATATCTTCCTTGGAATATCTTCCAAGGAATACCTTCCTTGATACACATTTGGATTGTATGCTTTTTCTGTATCTGTTGAGATGATCAGATGCTTTTTATCTTTCATTCCATTAATATGATATATCACATTTATTTGTCCGTGGGTATTGAAATATCTTTGCAACCCAAGGGTAAATCCCATTTGATCATGGTGCATGAACCTTTTGATCAATGTGCTGCTGAATATTGTTTGCTAGTATTTTGTTGAGAGTTTTTGAATCTGTATTTTGCAGAGTATTAGCGTATGGTTTTCTTTTCTTATAATATCTTGATCTGGCTTTGGTATCAGAGTAATGTTGGCTTTATAAAGCAAATTAGGGAGTTTTTTCTCCTCTTCAATATTTTGGAAGAGTCTAAGAAGGCCTGGCCTTAATTATCCTTCAAATGTTTTGAAGAATTAACCTGAAAAACCACATGGTCCTGGGACTTTTTGGGTGGGGGAGGTTTTTAATTACTAATTCAATCTTCTCAGCCTTTTTTAGCCTGCTTACATTTTCAATTTCTTTGTGATTCAGTTTTGGTCAGTTGTAGGTTACTAGGAATTTATCCATTTTCAGTTTTCCTCTTGTAATTGATTTCTAGTTTCATACCATTGTGGTCATAAAATATGCTTAAAATAATTTTAATCTTCTTAAATTTTTAAGACTTGTTTTATTGCTGAACTACCCTGGGGAATATTCCTGTGTGCACCAGAGGGCTGGGTACTCTGCTGCTGTTGGATGGAATGTTCTGTGTATGTTTGTTAGGTTCATGTGGTATAATGTGTAGTTTAAGTCCCACGTTTCATTATTGACTTTTCTGACTGGAGGATCTATCCATTCTGCACTGTTGAAAATGGGGTAGTGAAGTCCCCTGTTATTATTGTATTGCTGCATATTTCTCCCTTAAGATCTGTTAATATTTGTTTCATGTATTTGTGTGCTCCAAAGTTGGGTGGAAATTCTTAACATTGCATGATTGTATGCCTTCACTTGATTCTGCAAAGCCTGCCTGGTTGTGGGCAGCCTCCTGCTTGCTCTCCTCTGGTTGGTGCTGAATGCTCACATTTGTATCCTTTCTCTCAGTCCAGCAGAATTGGGCCAGATTTCTGTGCAGGCCCACTAGCCATCTGCAAAGGCTCACTCTCGCACATGTTTTTAAACAAACATGTTGGCCATGTGGTGAGGGCCCACCAAGTGTTGAAGGTGCCTGTGTGTCACTTGCTAAATCCACAGGTAAGGTGGCCCTAGCAGCTCATGGGTGGGCTCCCTGATGCAGTCTGTGGAGTAGTTAGTCAGGTCCTCACTCTTTGGATGCCCTCCAAGAGCTCTGGCTGCTGATCGCCTAGCTGCTTCCTACCCCTGCACCAAGACATGCTGCACACTTCTGGGAGAGGTAAGGGAGAGGCAGGCTCTGGTGACATCCTGCACAGCCAGGGAAGCTGGGTGATCTCTCACACAGCTTCTTTTTACCCTACGGGAGAAATATCAGGGGCTAAGAAGGTCTCTTTGAGCACTAAGCTGTGGCAGCTTAGGGATGGGTGACAGGGGCAAAGTGGAACTCCTCCTCTTACCCTCTTCAATGTGTCTAATCTCAGATATTTTTTCTACAGTATGCTGAAACTTTTCTGCTGGCCGCCTGGACTTCCACA